ATATATATATATATATATATATATATATATATATATATATATCTTTTTTTTTTTTTCAGGCTGGCCCCAGACTCCTGGGCTCAAGCAATCCTTCTGCCTTAGCCTCCAGAGTAGCTGAAACTACAGGCACACACCACCATGCCCAGCACCTTAGAAGCTTTTTGAGGTAGAGATTATCACCTCTTTTAACCCATTACACCCAGCAAGGTCAAGCAATTTACTTTCACGAGCAAAATAATAATTCATTTTGTTTATGGAATAAGCAAAACTACAATAACTTTATTTACCAGAACACTTTTTTTGTTTTTYCTAAAGACACATTTAGAAGGATTCCCAGAAGTGACTGGGCCAGAGGATATAATAATCAGAACAGTAGAAATTATTATATACCATACCACCCCTYTCATTAAGTACTCTGGAGACATTAATACATGACGTCAACCACGAGCTTAAGCCTAGGAGCAGGTCCCAGAAGACTATGGAAAGGATTCATCTTTTCACATGGCATTGAATTTCGCAAATTTCCATCTTCAGAGAGCTTTAGGTAGGTGAAACATCATTTTCTCTCCTGTATTTATAAAGGGAACAGTTAGATATCACAATCACACTTGGCACAATTTGCATGTGTGTTTATTTTCTACATCCCTTTCTCTCCTACCAGAGAAAGAACATTTTGAGAGCAGAGACCATGTCAGTTTGTTTATCATTGTCATCTCAGTCCACTGCATAATTCCTTGGCATTTAGTAGAGTTTTAATATCTGATGAATGAAGCAGAGAAAAGCTTCTTTCAAATAAAGTTGAAATGGAAAATTCTATTCTTAGCACATTGGGTGTCTGGGCCTCCCCTGCAGAAGCTGAATCACAGGCTGTGGGCTGAAAGATTGGAGGTGTATTTACATGGAGCAACAGCCCAAGGAGGAGCAGCAAGTGTGAGTGTGGTGGCCCAGGTGCCAAGAGCCACATCAGAAGGATCCACAAATGAAAGAACAAACCAAATTAAAGTCCATTACTCTTGGCAACCAGAGTCTCCAGGAATCTTTCTTTGATTCTTAACTAAGTCAGTGTTTGTACCACCGAGATTGTTTGAGGGACTAGAAATTAAAACATTCTATCTGCCAGATAAAGACAATTTTCTCCCCTAACAGCAGGAGGGAGAGAAGTCCAAGTCTGCCAGAAGCTAGAGCTGGTGGCCACTTTTCCTGCTGTCYTCTCAAAACACTGGATTCAGCCATGTCCTAGGCTCTACTCCCTTAGGTATGTCAGGTTCCATATCTTAAGACAGCAGTCCTAAAACCTGAGCCTGCATCAGAATCATCCAGAGGCTTGTTCAAAGATTGCTGGCTATATTGTCAAAGTGGCTGATTTAGTACTTCTTAGGCAGAGCCAAGAATGTTCATATCTAGGGCTGSAGTTGTGGCTCAGCGGTAGAGCATTTGTCTAGCAYGAGCAAGGCCCTGGGTTCAATCCTCAGCACCMCATAAAAATAAATAAATAAAGGTAATTTWWAAAAAAAAGAATGTTCACATCTATCAAGTTCCCAGGTGATATGGAAGCTGCTGGTTTGGAGACTACCTCTTGAGAACCACTTTTCCAAGGAAAGTTGTAACATATGAAAAGCAGGACATTCTGCTGGATGCAGAATGTATGCAGAGCAGGACATTCCACTCTGGATGCTAACACTAAGGGGGTGTCTGTAAAGAATTTTGAAACAATGATAAAAGAATCAAAAAGTCAGTCATTTTTTATTTCATTATGCTTAGGCAACTCCAAATATCATTAGCCACATAGTATTCCTCCTGAAAAAGAAAAAAAAGTCCAATGTTTTAAGGTGAAAGTTAAACCATTGTAGTTTTCTCTTGGGTTCAATTCTCAGCACCACATAAACACACACACAAAAAAATTGTCTATTGGGCAGGACTTCTGGTGGTGATGGAATAAAGAATTCACTACTTCTTTCACAAAATAAACTATAAAACTGGGAAGAATTGTCAAGAAACAGTTTCAGGGTCTGGAAAT